TTTTTTTTTTTTTTGCCTGGTTTTGGAGTCAGGGTAATGCTGGCCTTATAGAATGAGTTGGGAAGTATTTACCCTTCTTCTAGTTCTTGCAAGTGTTTATGTAGATCTTGTCAGCTGCATCTTTTTCATTTCAGATAGTGTATTTTTCATCTCTAGAAGTTTGATTTGGGTCCCTTTTGTATCATTCATTACTCTCCTTATGTTCAAGTCTTCCTCCAGCCCACTATACATGTAAAGCCTGCTTTTAATACCTACTGTAATGTCCTTATCTGCTAATTGCCTATCTATCATCTGATTCATATCTAGGTCTGTTCTCATTGATTGGATTTGCTCTTCTTGGTGAAGGGTGTCTTTTCTTGGTTCATTGTATGTCTGGTAATTTTTTATTGGATACCAAACACTGTGAATTTTTGGTTTTTTTCTGTACTGGAATTTATTGTATTCCTTTAACAGTGTTTGATTTTATTCTAACAATGGATGTTGTTAACTGGATTCAATTTGATCTTTTTGAGGATTGCTTTTAAGCAGTGTTAGAGTGGATCCAGAGCAGCCCTCAGTCTAGAACTAATCTGATGCCACTACAGAAACAATGCTCTTCTGAGAACCCCACTGCATGATCTCCTGTAACACAAGTTCCTTCTATTCTATTGATAAAAATCTGAGCTACTCTGGGTCCTATGTGAGCTCCAAGAACTGTTCTGTCTAACCTTCCTGGTGGTTCTTCCCCTGCCTTGGGTAGTTTCCTCACAGGTATGCACCGATCAGTACTCAAGGGGACTCCCCTGTATGTCTGGAGCACTCTCTCTGTGAAGCTTCCTCCTGTTATATTTTGCCCAAAAATTCTAGTTTCCTTGGCCTCCATGAACTATAGTTCTGTATCCTGTTCTGCTTTTTCAGGTTCACCCCTCACTGTGCTGTAATCTAGAAATGCTTTTTAGGTAGCAAGCCGCACAACTGCAAAAATTACTTCATTTATTTTCCTTCTCTCAGGGATCAATGACCCATGACACCTCTAGAAGTTTGATTTGGGTCCCTTTTGTATCATTCATTTCAGACATCTAATGTCGGTTTGGTTCAGTTTGCTAATGGTTTAAGGTGAGAGGAAATGTATGGTTTCTATTATTTTATCATGGCCAGCAGTGGAAGTCTTAACCCTCTTTTAAAATGTCTAAACCTTATCCTATTATTAAGACCTGTATCTAGTCTAATTCACTTCTTTTTAAAAAAATTTGTTTAAATGTTTTATTTTTGAGAGAGGGCGAGTGGGGCAGGGGCCGACACAGAATCTGAAGCAGGTTCCAGGCTCTGAGCTGTCAGCACTGAGCCCAATACAGGGCCCAAACTTGTAAACCCTGCGATCATGACCTGAGCCGAAGTCGGACACTTAACTGACTGAGCCACCCAGGCGACCCTAGTCTAATTTACTTATTGTAAAATCTCCACAATAACCTATTTTAGTTTTCTTAGTCCCCTTCTTAATTCATAGTTTTAATCATTTACAACTATTCACCATTTATTAATTGATAATACATTAGACTGAGCTAAATGGAATTGCATTTTTTTAAACCTGGAAATATTTTTATTAATAAATGTTTCACATACTTCTATAATACCTTGTTTTTCTTTTCTTTTTACCATTTTATTTTAATTTACATCCAAGTTAGTTAGCATATGGTGCAACAATGATTTCAGGAGTAGATTCCTTAGTGCCCCTTACCCATTTAGCCCATCCCCCCTCCCACAACCCCTCCAGTAACCCTCTGTTTGTTCTCCATATTTAAGAGTCTCTAATGTTTTGTCCCCCTCTCTGTTTTTATACTATTTTTGCTTCCCTTCCCTTATGTTCATCTGTTTTGTATCTTAAGTCCTCATATGAGAGAAGTCATATATTTGTCTTTCTCTAATTTCGCTTAGCATAATACCCTCTAGTTCCATCCACGTAGTTGCAAATGGCAAGATTTCATTCTTTTTGATTGCTGAGTAATACTTCATTGTATACATATACCACATTTTCTTTATCCATTTCATCCATCAATGGACATTTGGGCTCTTTCCATACTTTGGCTCTTGTTGATAGTGCTGCTATAAGCATTGGGGCGCATGTGTCCCTTTGAAACAGCACACCTGTATCCCTTGGATAAATGCCTAGTAGTGAGTTGCTGGGTCATAGGGTAGTTCTATTTTTAATTTTCTGAGGAACCTCCATACTGTTTCCAGAGTGGCTGCACTAGTTTGCATTCTCAGAAACTGCAGTTTTTATAGTTCAAGAACCATCTAGTACCAGTAATTACACACGTTTCACTGAATTTTTTCATTAACTAGAGTGTAAGCACACTAGAGTGGAAGCAGCATTACTTGTTTCTTGAAAATTCCAATTAGTCCATCACATGGTTTGCACCAGATACATAGAAATATTTTGAGACTGGCTGATTAGGGCTTCTTTTTCTCAGCAGATTATACAATCACAATAGACCTAGATATATGCTTCTTGATAAGAATGGTGGTAATTTCAGAGTCTGATGAAAAATAGTAAGAAATTTTCTTTTACTATTTTTAAATCACAGATCAAGCACCATTCTGTTTTAACTTCTCACTTGCATGTCCATAAAAATATGCCACACGTATCGTATCGCAGAAGCAATCTTATGCCATCCTTAAGAAAGTTGTTTTATGCCACCACAGGCACTTATTTCAATGCAAACATTCGGAAGTTTAGTATTCCGGGTGTAAGTCAAATGCATTTGTGCTGTGATCGAATACAGTAAAAATGTAATGGGGAAAAAAAAAAGAAAGAAAAGAGTATTTTATTGATTTGATGACAAAATTTCAGATAGTGAAAAATCCAGTATATAAGCTTCTCTTGGGTTGTCATTAATAAATAAAAGTCCTTAGTGGGGAGTTTAAGATCCTCATGTAGGCTAATGACTTGACGATATAGAAAGAATGAGATTCAGAAGCAAGGTGCTGTTAAATGGTGACAATTCTTTTTAAGAACTGAATAACGGATTTATAAAAGACTTAAAATAAAATCGTAAAATAAGAAGATCTACACCTCAAGGCCAAAACTGGACACTCAACATATACTCACTGACTGCCTACTATGTGGTGGGCATTGCAGTCAACATAGTCAACTGGAGAAGTTTCCACCTTGTATTCTTGCAGGATAGACAGACTATAAGCAACCACACAAGCAAATATGTAATCCACATCCACACAATGAGAGAATGCTCTAAGTTGGAAAAAAAGAGAGAGAGAAAGAAGCAGGGTAAAGAGGTTAGAATGACATGGTGAGGGGGTGGAAAGGAATCAGGAACAGTCTCTCTGAGGAAGTGACATCTGAGCAGAGACCTGAATGAAACAGGGAAGTGAATCAAGAATAAATGTGGGAGAAGACCTCACAGAGAGAGCACAGCAACTGCAGAGGTCCCGAGGCAAGAGACTTCCTAGCGAGTCTTAGGACAGCAAGAACTAAAGTGTGGCTGGACGACTTGACAGAGGGGGGCCATGCAAGGAGAGGGGGAGGGACGCAACTCTTAAAGGACCTGGTATATTTCAGTGATTGAGGCTTTGGGATTTTGGTCTAAGTGTGATGGGAAGCCTAGACGGTTCGGAGCAGGCTAAAGACAGGATTTAATTCACATTTTAAAAGTCTCCAACCAAACCTTTGTGCTAATCCTGCTTCAGATACTTCTCCAACTGTACCCAGGCAAAGGTAACACACCAGGGCCCAGGTGAAGAACAGTCTCTCTTCTGGGGTCACTGAGAAGAAATGAGTGAGGAGAAATGGAAACATAAGATTTGCTCCCCTACATTCGTGAGCCTCCTGTGTAGACACAACACACTCTTTTGTAGTCGGCAGCGGCATATGCTACCCAAAAGTGAACTTGAGACGTTACGGTGCTTTAAGGTGGCAAACAGACTAACCTTCTGTATCCGTAGCACTGTTGATAACATTCGACAGCTTGGTTTTCAAGCTCGTGTACGTCACAGAGTTTCTCACATCACTCTCGTACCGCCCGGTGCCCAGAGACACGATGCACTCCAAGGGCACGTCCGGCCAAAGACATTTACACTCGTGCATGGCGAGAGCTGAGGGGTTATTCAGAAGCAAGCCTCCGTCCTGCAAAACAGGAGTCAAGAAGATATAGTGCAGAACTCTGAAAAGTGAAATTCCATTTTACAAACATGAAAACAAAAGCTGTATTTTAAACAGTTTGAAATTTACTCACAAGGAGAGTAGTGAACGGAACAAATTATTTAAAGACAAGAAGTTCCCTTAGAGTATTTATTTTGTATACCACAGCTTCAAAAAAGACAATGGGAAAATTCACTGGCCTTATCACACTTTCCCTTCCTATTATGAAAGTTCTTTTAACTTCTTCCTTGATCGCTTTGCATATTTTTCTCAAAACTACTAAAACAAACAGAATTACCTTTTAAAGGTAATTTAAAAGGTAATTTAAACAGAATTAACCTTTAAAGATATTATCCTTGTTCAGTGGTCACTATAGAGTCTACATAAAAACTAACAAAAAAATTGCGGTTCTACCAATCGATTAAAACTAGCTTTTTGTTCATAAGTCAAATAGAAACAAATTAATTCAACTAATTTCACTGCAACTCTGTGAACAATACAATTTCAAAGTATCACATTCATTAAAACACACATATCATCTAAACAAAGTAGGCAAACCTTGTAATGCTAAGCATTTATCAATCATAACTATTATTTTGAAGAATTCAGAAGGAGGACTAAACATGCCAAAAAATACTGTAAAACTGTAGAATAAAAGTATATAGCCAGCCTTGCATTACTGGGATAAACCTCTCTTGGTATTAGTGTATCCCTTCAATCCTGAAAAACTATAAACTGTTGGAAAAGTTACTCCTTCTAATACGCCCATATCGCCCTCTCTGTAACTGTCTCCCATTAATTCCAGATAGTGCCACACAGATTTGGTCAGCTTCTAAGCCTACAGTCCAGTCATTCATTAATTATTTGCAGGTTTTTGATAACCCACATCCCCTTGCCTTTGTGCCTTTGGACATGCTATCTCACTCAGAACACTTTCTCCAGCCCCCTTCTTAGCTCAACTAACTCCCATTTACTCTTCAAAACATGGGCCAAGAGTAATCGATCCAGCAAGAACCTAAGTGAAATAATCCTAACATGTTGAGCTGAAAACAGTCCGTCGCTACTGGAAGATAAGAGACTGCCTAATTCTGTACTAGTACACTGAAAAAGAATTTTGAAAAAAATAGGTTTTCCTCAAGAATAGGAAGAGGAGATACAAGCTTAAATTGGCGTGTCCTAAGGCAGTGCACACGTGAAATACAGGCACTGAGATTACAGTGACACAAATATTACGGGATAAAGATCTATAAAGAAGTAATATTTTTCCTTAAGACCTGTATTTTCAGAATTCTTTTTCGTTTTTATTTTTTTTTTTTGATGTTTTATTTATTTTTGAGAGAGAGAGCACGAGAGAGAGAGCAGGGGAGGGGCAGACAGAGAGGGAGACGCAGCTTTCAAAGCAGGCTCTAGGCTCTGAGCTGTCAGCACAGAGCCCAACGCAGCACTCGAACCCAAGGACCGTGAGACCATGACCTGAGCCAAAGTCGGAGCCCCTCAAAATTCTTTTTTAGTGTACTACAGCAAAATTATGGCACACTAGGATCTTAGGCAAATGAGCCACTTTGCATGGCTAAGTTCTCCTTAGGAAAGAGTGTGTGTACAGGGGTGTGCATTTAATAAAAACCCTTTCTGCAATAAGCCATATGCTTTTCAAAAAAGAATATAATGATGGTGCTTCAATTTTCTCTTGATGATTCAGAATTGTGGGGGAAAACACAAATCAGAAATATTGCTGCTTCTAATTCCAATCTCAGCTTAGCTTCTACTTCCTAGCTCTTTGGCAGAGGCATCACGACTTTTAAAAATAAGATGTGACTTGATAATTTCTAAAATTTTAGGATTAGGTACTACATTGACTGTATAGGCTCAATGGCAACTTATTTTAGTACCGGCCCTAGAACTTCAAGAAGTGTTTGCCAACAGCCTTTCCCCCTGGGGAAATCTGCAAGTTTCTCACAAAGGTAAAAAGCAGTACATGCGGCGATCCAAGCTCCAGTGAGGTAGTGATTTGACTGTCTTTTTACAAAACTGGGGACTCAAAGGATCAGAGACTTCTGCTAAGTGGCTTCCTTTCCTTGTGGAAAATCACCTCCCCCACCTCCCCCACTGCCAACACTAGTGTTCTCTAGCTTCAAGGCCCCATTAAAAACATGCAGCATTTTGCCTTGGTAACGAAGTAACCAGTGTCACTAAAATTTCTCACGGACCACGAAAGAGAAACGCACCTTACCTTTTGTGAATTTATGTTCCGTTATCTTAGGGGGAGGGGGAGGATTTATTTTATAGATCACAGATAATGACAACTCTTCATTATTTTAAGCGTTGCCAAAACAACTTTTCAAAAACACATATCTCAAGTAACACCCTGCGTCGGTGAGATTACACTAGAAGGCAGCAGCACAGAAATGTCCCAGAGGTAACTGGCTCTTTAGTTATGGAACAGCCGATGCGAGCCTAACGGTCCTTTATTACGGCCCATGTCATTCATCCCCAGGGTGTAGCCTCAGGATTCCTCCGGGGTAACAGGCATACGCGGGGCTGTGTGGATTCGCAGAAAAACTGTTGGGTCACGTGTTTTCACTGCTCCTTTTGGTCTCCATTTCAGGATGGGTTGTTTGCTGCTACTTTGGATCTGATCTCTACCTTCCCCCGAGGCGCTCATCTCCATCACTCTCTAGCGTCATCTCTTCAAAAGAATGTGTTTTAGGTATCCACACGTGTTGACTTTCATGAGAAAAGGTTATTCTTTCAAAAGACATCTCAGTCAACAGGGGCCCGTTTATTCGCAGGCCCACCACATTTCAGCTCTTTGGCTGTTTTCAGAAAGTCCCTTTGTGGCTGATAGAGGCTCGAGTTTGGACTGTCGCTGAAACCTACAGACTGCAGAAAGCTGGCCTGTGGACGGCCTCAGGTCTGGGACACAAAAAAGGGGGAGACTGGGTTCTGTCATTTGTCACCCGACTGGCAGGAGGTGTCCTAAGGAGGGGGAAGCTTCCCTCCCTCATCCAGACTAAGGAAGAGGGACATGTGTGACTGAAGCACACACGCCAGCATCATGCTTACCTTTATTACAGATCCCACAGGCCTAATTTTCAGCATGCATGTTAGGAAAACAGTTAAGTCATTCCGAAACCCAAAACAGCATGGCAGAGAATACACACAAACGATGAGAATCTTAAACGGATCAAAGTGCCAGTTAAGACCGGGAGAAAGAAGTAAACCTTCTGTGCCACCGAGTACGCCGCCTCGGTTCATCCAGCAGAAACTCGGATGTCCGTCTACCCCACGCCAGGCCGAAAGGCGTGCCAGCCTCGAGTGTGCCGAGCCTGAAGCAGGTGAACCGACACTGTGTCTCCTGGAAGTGATGACCGCGGAGGGTGGGATGGCTTTTACGGTTTTTAGAGCTACTAGGCTCACTTTCCTCAGACCCGATAGGGGCTAAATTCACATGTTATTCTAAACTCCAGCGTCTTTGCACCATTCAACATTGCCACTCAAGTCCCTGAGCTTGCTTGCCACGGACACAGTCTTTCACTCCTCCTGGACGTCTCCCACTGTGCTGTACGGAACCGCTCCACAGTTGAAACTGCCAAGGTCATCTCACCTTCTTCTGAAAGTGCTCTCTTTAACAGAAATGTGGCTCTTCCCCAATACTGTTTCCCAGGTAGCTGTTGATTCTTTCATATCTCCTATACTTTAGTGGTTAGGAGGACGGTGTCCTATTTATTCTTTAGTGTTCCTTCTAGACCATTATTAGTCTCAATCGACTTGGAAAATTCATGTGCTTTAACGGTTCTGCTATTCCCCCCCAGCCACCACCACTGTTGTCACCTGTCACCTCCCCATTCAACAAACTGGTGAGCACCTGGTTCACAGGCTTCCTTACTATCCCATGTAGGAAGGGGTAGAAATTCTTTATCACACCCCACGTGACTTTACAACTTTCTAACACCCTAGACTCTCAGATGCTCAATCCTCTTATCTTCAAAATCCATTCTTCTATCTACTCTCCAAGGTCACACATTAGCTCTTGTTATCAAGATAGATGGAATCATATGGTATTCAGTGTTTTGAGTCTGGCTTCTTTCACCTAGAATAATGCTTCTGAGATTCATCTATGTCACTGCACATGTCCATAATGCATTCCTTTTTATTGCTGAGTTGTATTTAATTATTTGGATGCATCATAGTTTATCATTCACCAGCTGAAAGGAACTATTTTTAAATTTAGCTATCTTTAGGGTGCCTGGGTGGCTCGGTCGGTTGAGCATCTGACTCTTGATTTTGGCTCAGGTCATGATCCCAGGGTCATGGGATAAAACTCCATAAGAGGCTCTGTGCTGAGTGCAGAGCCTGCTTAAGATTTTCTCCCTCTGTCCCTCTCCACTGCTCACGCTCTCTCCCTCTCTAAAAGAATTTTTAAAAATTAGCTATCTTTATACATCTGTTGACAGTTTTACATCGGCAATTTGTACTGTTTAACTTTGTGAAAACCTACTAGGATTCCTTGAATGTAGGTAGCATTAATTATTTCGTAAAGGCTTCTCAAATATAAATTTTAAGACTTTCAACTTTTTCCTTTGTTTTCAATTAAAAGGACATTAGAACAATACCTATCACATAACAGAGACATTTCAGAACAGAACATTTCACTTCTAATTCAGCAAGAAAGTTACCTCTTTTAAAACTTTTATTTTAAATTCTGGTTATACTGTCTGTAACTTCTAATCATCTCAGTATTTTAGATGGAATACTTCACTATTATAAAAGCCCATAAAGAAGGGTCATAAAAGACAAAAAAGGGAGAAAAGATAAGAAGGGGCAAGCAAGGTGTAGCAAAAATTGATAATAACAAAACCACTCCCAAAATAAAGAGCTGCCAGGTTTCTAACGGTTTTAATAGTCATGCTTTAAATTCCCATTCCTTTACCTTTACCTATTTTCCATCAAATACATGCAGAAGTTAAGATTTTTGTGTTCACTCTAGTCCATGGAGAGGCACACCGTCCCTTGAGCCCTGTTATACTTAGCCCACTCCTGTCAAATGCCTCTTTTATCAGGAAGTCATCAGGCTAATACTGTGGTATTTCCTTTAACCTTTCCATTCATTTAAGTATTCATATTTACAGTTATTTATTTATTGTGTATTTGCCAGGCCCACTGCTAGATGCTCACGTAAAAAAGACTTAAAAAATGAACTGATTGCAGGGCGCCTGGGTGGCTCAGTTGGTTAAGCCTCCGACTTCAGCTCAAGTCATGATCTCAGCTCAAGTCATGATCTCAGCTCAGAGCCTGGAGCCTGCTTTAGATTCCGTGACTCCCTCTCTCTCTGCCCCCTCCCCCACTCATGCGCGTGCGCGCACGCGCGTGCTTTCTCTCTCTCTCTCTAAAATAAAAAATTAAAAAAAATGAACCGGTTGAATAATTTGCTACTTATCTCTCAGAGATACACGCAGGATTGTGTTTTAATAGCAGTACATCATACATGCACTTAACAGCCTAAAATTTAAATACTTTTGATTGATTTTAATGTACATTTAATCATTTCAAATCATACGGAATCCCATCCAGGAAATAACCATTGCACAATGTGAATGTCTCCTAATCATCTCATCTCAGCTTATTCTTTTTTGAGTTAAAAAAAACTTTGTTTCTTATTATGGTAAAATTCACCAAACATAAAATTGGTCCTTTTAAGCATTTTTAAGGTAACAATTCAGTGGCATTAATTACATTCAGAATGTTTTACAACCATCACCACTGTCTATTTCCAAAATGTTTTTATCACCCTCAAGAGAAACTCTAAAAGCATTAAGCTCTCCTTATTTCCCTCCCAATCCCATTTCTATCCTGCCCAACTACTCATTCTTTACCTCTCAACTGCAGTGGAAACGTCTTTGTAAAGCCAGTCCTGATAGAATAAACCACTTCTTCTATGCTACTTCTTACCCCTGCACATATTTTCATTATTGAATCTATCCTGTTATTATTTTCCTGTGCTTATATTCCCCTAGCTTGAGCCATTCGAGGGTAGAACCCAGGAAACGCAAGCAATAAACTGGCACTTATTAAAACCTTTAGGGTCTTCAAGGTTAACACAGTTTCTGGCACTGAGCAAGCAGTCACTACATTTTTGACCAGTTATACTGAAAATTAATAGTTGCGGCCTGGCGCAGGCACAATCTGCCAGGTGCCAGGCCGGTTCTTTCCGCTGAAGACACTATTTACCTGGAACATTTACATGAAATATCACAATCCCCTTTAGGTTAATGTATTCTGAGTTCTGGACATAACCTTTCACAACGTAAATTAGGCCTAAGACAAATAATATATGAAAATCTGTCATGAAAACCTTTAGAGCAAATGAATTTATCAGGGTCTTTCTCCAAAAGGAGAGAATTAATGATTCAATTCTGGAGGTGGAGATGGGAAAAGGTAAGAGAGAAGGGACATGCATATGTCCAAACTCATCAAACTGTACACATCAAATATGTTTACTTTGGGGTATATCAACTGTATACCAATAGAAAGAGAGAGAAGGGATAATTTTATGTAAAACGCACTATTTCAAGATAGATATGATGCTACTTGGGCAGGGGGGAGAGAAATAATAGATTAGAAAACTACTCAAAAAGAATTCCTCTCACTTTATAATTTTTTAAGACATGTAATAAACCTTGTAAATATTACCATATTCTTTTCTTTATAGGCAAAGGCAAATGTAATCCATACATCTACCTACTCGCACCTCTTAATTATAGCACTGCTTTCAATAACTGCTCAAACAGAATGTTAGTCTATAATTTATACTCTACGTGGTTCCAAAAGGATATGAAGTAACTTACATTAAAACATATGTCAGACATGACAGTTAAAAGAGATTTTAAAGATGAGTCTGGAAATAACTCAATTATTCAAAGAGCTCGGGATAAGAGGACTGTAATAAGTAAGCACCATATTTTAGTTTTAAACTTCGTAACAAGTTCTGAAGGGTTGGAAAGGAACTTCACTTGAATGTTTTCTTTGTTTAAACGATCAAGATCATTCACATCTTAGAATGTTCTAATCAATCTTTCACGGTGTCCTTTCAGTAGAAAAATATCCCATTTCTTCCTCATGTTTGGAAGAGAAAAAGAAAAATATTCTTAACAATAGGGCTTGCTTAGAATCCAGATTTCATTAAAATATGATTAATTAGATGTGCAAATCTTCCCGAGTCAAGTCACTGATTTACATCCAAGTATATTCTCTGTACACGTGATTACATGCTTTACATAAATTTTGTACAGTAAGTTATTTTAATCTGTAGCTCAACCTAAATTCAAAGATTATGGTCATCAATATAAAAATGGCTAAGCATGAAAAGAAATATCACTAGTCTAAATGAAATGGAAGGAGAACCACTTGGATTACTTTGGTTTGTTATTATGTATTCTCCAGGACTGAATTAAACTTTAGAGCTACCTCCTCTCAGATGAAAACAATAAAGAGAAAATGAGATAACTTCTTTGGAAGTCTGGAACACATGGTCCTGAAATGCAGTAACTTATCATTTGAGACTTCTACTAATATTTGGCATAACTGTGACTTTGTAGCATGACAATCATCTTAAAGTTATGTTATAAACCTTAAGTACTATGTTTTGAATACACGGTCTAAATTTATCTCCGTTTGTGACATGGTGAGAAGAATATGCAGAAATCATTGTTAGAACAGCAAGGTACATATTAAAGTAAGAATTTTATTTTGACCAATAAGTCTTGAAACCAATGTCAGAAGGACTCTCCAGCTAGCACTTTCTGCCCTGAGTGGGTGGAAGAAAGAAGAAAGGCGAGCAGGGGAAGTGCCTTACATAATTCAACAATGACTGATTTGACAAAGTAAGAAACAGTCTGAAGTGGCTTCAAAGACAAAAGGAATCCTATGTTAAATTCGTGACTACAAAGATTGTGACACTACTTCTAGAAAGACAGGGGAAAATGGGATAGTTGACCATAACATTTTAAAATATGTGTAAGGTACTATAAAAATATAAGAGAAAATAAAACTGATAAAAGTATTTGTTATTATAACATTGACACATGTAAACTGAAATTGTATAGTTGATGTGTAGTTCATATAGACAAACGATGTGTGTAGGAGCTTCTGAATGACATCTGAAAATCTTTATCAAAATAGTTTTCCTCTCAACATTTATCCAAACACCAAATACACAGAGCACAACAAATACTTCACTGCTAGAGAGTAAAGTTAAGGTTAGTAGCTCTATGGAATGAGATTGACTTTAAGTGGGATATCATCTAAAAAATTAAGGATATATAAAACATATTTTGGTAGTATCAGCTGAAGAGTTTTCGTCACTTTTTTATCATTTAGTGTAAGTCAGGAGTTAAGATTTCCATGAATAATGGGAAAAACTTGACAGAGGAAAGATTCATGATAAATAAATAAGTCTACATTACAGAAAAAGAATAAATTACCAGAAATAATAGTCAATGTTATACACCATTCAGCCATAAACTTTGAAAAAGTGTAACTATAGACAGCTTCCTGATCCTGCCGCTTGCTAGCTGTGATCCTACTCGTTAGTGAACATTTCTCAAGACTCCAATATCTCATCTGTAAAAGGGGAATAACTCTATCCACCTCATAGGCAGTGATAATTAAGTGACACAATGCATGCCAAGGACTATGTAAGTGTCCAGCACATAGCTAACTTATTATTTTATATCATCTCCTTCAAAATATGTCCACCAAAACTGTCAAACAGATTGGGTTCCACGTGCCCAGGGACCATGTTTCACTTTGAATTTTTATTTCATTTTATTACATTTGAATGTTTTCTTTTTAATTTTTATTACATTTGAAAAGCCACACATTTTTCCATCAATAAGTGATCATAATTAGTTATGAATCACATTATGTAAAATACACACACACACACACACAAAAATCTTTCCTAAAATGTGTTCTCAAGCCAGAAGGCCTGTTGATTTAAGGAAAACAAACAACAAATAAAAACATTCCGTGTGGCACATCTTTTACCACACAGAAACATGAAGAACAAATCTGACATTTGAAAAGTGCCGATTCTATAATCACGTGAACGTTTCAAAGGTAAGCCACGGTCAACTCACTTGGTGAAGATCGTTTCCCAGTGCGTACTCCGCAAAGTAGCCGGGCGCAGCAGACGAGGCTCTGATGGCCTGCCACATTTTGTACTGACAGCCTCCCAGGTAGTGAGAGTTGATGCCAGGGAAGTGACCATAGTTTCTGAACACAAAAGCCTTGGGCGTTATCCCTCTGTTCACTATGGTACTTACTGCAGCTACCTAGTAAATTAAAAAGTGAACAATACCCACTGTAAACAGTCGTATTGGGGATCTGTGAAAAATTAAGTATTATTTAGTAGTGTATGAACCACCTACAATTCTCCCCATCAAGATAAACGTATAACATAAATATGATGTTCAGCAAAGGGAACCAGATGTTTCTACCTAGTTAGTTCTTTACGGGAAAATAGATACAAGGACTGAGATAATTTTGAGAAATGTATTATAAGACAATAATAGTGAGATCCTGTAGCTCAGAGGTTAGAGCCCAGGTCTTGTAAGACAAGAATAAGATATTTTTGACTACATGATTTGATTAGCTATGTAAAAAGACATTAAGAAGACATAAACTTGCAAATCTTTGGATAATAATCAACACAGCAGTAGTAGCAATGAACACAAACTACTTGAAGAAGAATAAACACATTATTTTCACAGTATTTACGGATTAGTTTTTGTTTCTGTTCTCTTTGAAGGCACTATGACTTTAGTAACTGAAACTAACACTATACAAATTCTCAGGGCTTTCTTATAGTTAATAACTGGTAGCTGGGTAAATTTTTATTGAAATAACTAACAATGACCATCTTGGGTCTCGGATTTCATTGATATCAGTTGAATTTATGTAAAATGTGTTGTACTTGTTAATGACTTATAATATAAACTGAAGAAGGTGAAAGGTATTGAGGAGGCCAAAGTTATTAGGATTCTGTGCCAAGCCCTGTCAGGGGCCTGTGTGCTTTGTTATTTTATAAACCAAACGGGATATCCCTAGATCCCACGAGTGATCTGAGTGTGTCTCTAGGCCACCGTGGGTAAGAGTCGTCACACCAAAATCCAGGGGGGTCTATGGATTGATTGGTCGATAGACAGGCTGAATTAAGAATCATGTGGGCTGGGGCGCCTGGGTGGCGCAGTCGGTTAAGTGTCCGACTTCAGCCAGGTCACGATCTCGCGGTCCGTGAGTTCGAGCCCCGCGTCAGGCTCTGGGCTGATGGCTCAGAGCCTGGAGCCTGTTTCCGATTCTGTGTCTCCCTCTCTCTCTGCCCCTCCTCCGTTCATGCTCTGTCTCTCTCTGTCCCAAAAATAAATAAACGTTGAAAAAAAAAAAATTAAAAAAAAAAAATCATGTGGGAAACACGATAAACCCTTTTATCACAAGTGAATTACTTTTCGAGGTGGCTTAGGTCCCTTACACCTACTCTTTTATTTAAAGTTGGCGAGTCCTAAGACTTAAAAACAAACAAGCAGAAAGCTCTGAAGACATACAGGGGAACTAACGAGAGGTGTAGGGCACATCCGGGGGTCTTCTCCAAAAGAGCCGTGTTTGTCTCGTTATGACATGGCCTCCAAGGCCTGGCTGGTCTGATTCACCTGCCACTTCAGTCTCAACTTGCACGATGCCCTTGAATCCTCAGGCTCCAGCCTTCTGGAACTCTCAGTTCCTGCACTTCTCCATGCTTCCTCCCGCACAGGTCCTTCCCTTTGCCAGCAATGCTCCTACTCATCAGCCTCCACACTAAGATCTCAAACCTCATGTCCTTAGAATAGCCTTCCCTCGTGTCCCTGTAAATACATGTGTTCAGAGAACTGTTTTTGTTGTCCATAGCATTTATTTCAGGGAAACTATATGTCATTTGTGTGATTACCTGATTAATGCCTACTTGCCCTACTGGACTATAAACTCCATGTCTGCATTTACTCACTAAGGTCTCCAAAGTGCCTAGCACAGTGTTGACACATTGGGCTTATAGTTAATATCTAAAGAATGAATGAGGGGGACCTGGTGGCTCAGTTGTTAAGCGTCCGACTCTCGATTTTGGCTCAGGTCATGATCTCAAGTTTCATGAGATCAAGCTCCGTGACAGCCTCTGGGCTGTGCTGCTTGGGATTCTCTCTCTCCCTCTCTCTCTCTGGCGTGCCCTCTCTCTCTCTCAGAAATAAATTTCAAAAAAGAAAAAGGTATGAACAAAATTTATTTTATTTTATTTTTTTTTAATTTTTTAAAAAAAAATTTTTTTTCAACGTTTATTTATTTTTTTTTGGACAGAGAGAGAC